GCAACGAGGGACGAAGGAAATAGAGCAACGATTGAAACAGGAGATCGAAAAGCAGAAATTAAACGAGATGTTAGGTTGGTCGGTGCCGGAGCCAGAAGCCGTAGCAGGGTCGACAAAGAGTGGAAATTGCAACACTCTGAAAATGGTGATGGGAAAGCCATTCGGCACAACAAAGATCGGAGCCAGGGTAATGTCAAAAATCACTGTGGGCGGCCATGAAGTAACGAGGAACTTGAACGAACCAAGCGATCAGACAATAATGCACATTGACATGTACGCAGATTACTTGAGTGCTATAAGCCCACAGACGACGTCTAGAGCCTTGAGGACGCTACTCACAAGCGGTGGCAGCAAGTCAGTCCGTGTTGAGAACAGATACACAGAAGCTCATGGTCCGCATGAGGTGATGCTAAATATAGATGGGATAAACATCTATACGAAAAACAAGATAACATGTGATGAAGATCTAGTGGGGCAGATCTACGTGGGCAAAGAAGAACTAAAAGTGAGATCGATTGGACACTGCGCCATGCTGGAAGAAGGTGCAATGCACATCGGGACGGAAGCGGACAAATCAGCACATGTGCTTGACATAAGTGGCAAAAAGACTCAGTTACGTGGGTTACTTGATACGGGAGCGGTCTTGAGTGTTATACCAAATGAAACTTGGGAACGAATAGGTTTTGACAAAGATGACTTAGTAGACTCAAGAATACGGCTATCAGCTGCGAACAAAGGGGCGCTGCGGGTACTAGGCAGAACACCAAAACTAGCCCTAAATCTAGGGGAACGCAACCTGTGGATGAGCTTTCTTGTGGTGGAGAACCTAGACGGGTCTGACCAGTTCATTTTAGGCAGAGACTTCATCAGGAACTTCGACGTAACGATTGATCTAAACAATGCCATGCTCAGGATTCGGAATCCGGATAGAAAGTACGTAATTAAACCGGTAAATCTGATAATGGCAAATGAGAATAAAGTGCCGGTGTTCTTGATCAGAAGGGTAAGGCTGAAAGCAAACGAAGCGGCAATTGTAAGCTTACGGATGAAAAATTATAATGAATTAAGTAATAGTAAGCAAGTATGCATAGTTCCTAATCCAAACAGTCGAAGTGCTGCTGTTTAGGAAGATCCTTCTCGATAACCAAGAGCGGTCTCTGCGTCAGTGTCTTGTTGAATACTCTTGACATACCCATAACAATCTAGAGGGGAAGAAAGTTGGGATATGCCTTATCCGTGAAAACTTGAAATGAAATGAATGAAAATGTAAAGGAGAAAGAAGTAATTGAATGTCCCACTCACAGGGACAAGATTTGTATCTTGAGACAATTGAATAAAATAAAAAATTCATCAGGTCTTGTAAAGTCACTTAATTCGGAGACAGATGATGGACTATCGAGTTGTTCAAATTTCCCAGAAAGACCAACACTAGAGGAAATGGAAATTGAAAAACCAGTTTTACTCGAAATAGAGAATTTAAGGGGTAAGGTAACGGATGAACAACTCGAGGCCACCAAGGACGTTTTAGAGCGGAACGAGGAAACTTTTCGAGACATAAGGCAGACATTGGATGTTGTACTTTTGTTGAACATGAAATAGAGCTTGAGGAATCCGCGGTACTGCACAGGAAGGGGCGAGGCGCATGACCCCACACAAATCGGATGCGTGTAGGAAAGAGGTAGAGACACTACTAGAGTATGATATGATAGAACCATCAAAATCACCGTGGGCGTGTGTAGTAGTGATGGCGAAAAAGAAAGGCGACCAATTGAGGTTTTGTGTGTGACTTTCGGTATCTGAACTCCGTCACGGTGAAGGATGCCTATCTCATACCTAGGATTTATGAGAGCCTCTCGAAGTTAGGTGATGCAAAAATTTTCTTGATTTAGGTTCGGCTTTTTGGCAGGTCCCGTTGAGGAAGCAGGACAGGGAAAAACAGGGTTCGCCTGCGAGTTGGGGCTGTTTCAATGGAAACGGATGCCGTTTGGTCTTTCCAATGCCACGGCTACATTTTGAACGGTTGATGGCACATGCATTGATAGGTGTGACAAAGAAGTATGGCAATCTGGTAATGTGCTACGTGGATGACGTGGTAATAGCGACGCCTACACTGGAAGATCACATCGAGTGACTGGACGAGGTGTTTCCATGCATGAAGAGGTCGGGGATAATGTGCAAACCATCAAAGTGCGAGATACTCAAGGATTCGATAAAATATTTGGGGAGGATGGTGGACAGGCACAGCATCAGACCAGATCCAGATGCAGTTGAAGCAGTTCAAACTTGGAAATCGCCAAAAACGGAACACCAGTTCATGAGCTTCCTGAGTTTTGCAAACTATTACAGGGAATTCATCAAGGGCTACGCGGATAAGGTATACCCGATGCAACAATTATTGAGACACAAAGGCAAGAAGTTCACGTGGAACAACGCAGCTGAAGAAATATTCCAGAGAATAAAGAAAGAGTTGTGCGAGGCACCAGTGTTAGGGATGCCAACGGAGAAAGGGATGTACGTGCTGGATACGGATGCGTCGGTAGTCCCGATTTCTGAAAGTCTCCATCAAGAGCAGGAATGGAACGGGAGGACAGTCTTGAGACCAATAGCGTACGCGAGCAAAGTCTTCAGTGATACGGAAATGAAGTACGGGGCGCCGAAAGCGGAGATGTTCGCGGTGGTTACCTTTGTCGAGAATTATAGAGCATACCTAGGCAGTGAGCCATTCAAGCTGCGAGTCGACAACAGGGCACTCAGCTGGCTGAAGACGTACTCAATGGACCAGAGCTACATCGGGAGGTGGATAGTTCGCCTTGACGAGTACAGCATGATAATTGAGCTTAGAACAAGGGACAAACATCAAAATGCCGATAGCTTGAGTAAGAAAACGGAGTTCTACGAGAGACAGGAACAGAGGGAGGCGAACAGACCAGAAATAAAAGAAGGCTTCTCCTTCATGGATAAGGAAACGTATGATAGTCTTCCACTCATGAGATGGCTCGACAAGTCAGGCAAACCGATACAAGATCACCCCGATTTACCAAAAGAGCCTCCAGAGAAAACATTCTTGAAGAAGACCCGAGGAATGCCGATAGGGATAATGCTCAAGTCATAAATTGTGAGAGAGACACTCAAGGTGAAAGGCTATGATCTCAAGCAGGTAGAAACTGAAGAAGCGCAGATAGATGAGGACTTGATGAGATTACTCGAGAAACTGGCAGATGATAAACCCGTGATCGAAGGAAAGGGCAAGGAGGAACCGGAAGTCACGATACTGCGAAGGAGTGAGACAGTCGGCGGCGAAAACTCCTTAGAAGAGAGTAATCATGTTGGGAAGCAAATCGTGCAGTCACTGGTTGACAGAAGTCCTGATGACATACTTGAGCGGACTCGGGTTGAGAAAAAGAAAGTGGCGTTTAAGAAGGGGGTGAACACCATGGAATAGGTCAAGAGTCTGGGGAGTGGCCCACAGAGGGAGAAGATGCTGGAGAAGAAAAATTGTCCGGGGAGTGTGAAGAATGGGATGAAGATTCGGAGGGCAGCAGCGACGACCAAGATAGTCTGTGCATGATACTGGCGGAAGAGAAGAGGAGACACCACGACAGGGAGCTGCAGACGGATCCCTCATCGGGAACATACAATTTGGATCAGCAAGAAGTGCGAGGAGATACTGGCGGAAGAGAAGATGAGACACCACGACAGGGAGCTGCAGACGGATCCCTCATCGGGAACATACAATTTGGATCAGCAAGAAGTGCGAGAATGTGAAGATTTTGAGAAAATTGCGGTATCGAGGAAACTGCTCAGGGAACTATCATGCAACTCGAATGTCAGAACAAATCTGGTTCCAGAAGACGATAGAAATATCATGAAGAGGATAGCGTGCGTAAAGCTGAAAGATGACATCCACAACCCTAAGGAAATGAATGGTCAGATAATGGCACTAAAAGAACATGTCAAGGCGAGATATAGGCTGTCGGATCTAATAAAGGCCCAAAAGAATGACAAGATGACAAGTAACCTCTCCAAATGGATACTCTTGACATACCCATAACAATCCAGAGAGGAAGGAAGCTGGGATATGCCCTAACCATGAAAACTTGATATGAAATGACTGAGAATGCACAGGAGAATGAAGTAATTGAATGTCCCAATCACAGGGACAAGATTTGTATCTTGAGACGATTGAATAAAATAAAAAATTCATCAGGTCTTGTAAAGTCACTTAAAACAGAGACAGATGATGGACTATCGAGTTGTTCAAATTTCCCAGAAAGACCAACACTAGAGGAAATGGAAATTGAAAAACCAGTTTTACTCGAAATAGAGAATTTAAGGGGTAAGGTAACAGGTGAACAACTCGAGGCCACCAAGGACGTTTTAGAGCGGAACGAGGAAACTTTTCGAGACATAAGGCAGACATTGGATGTTGTACTTTTGTTGAACATGAAATAGAGCTTGAGGAATCCGCGGTACTGCACAGGAAGGGGCGAGGCGCATGACCCCACACAAATCGGATGCGTGTAGGAAAGAGGTAGAGACACTACTAGAGTATGATATGATAGAACCATCAAAATCACCGTGGGCGTGTGTAGTAGTGATGGCGAAAAAGAAAGGCGACCAATTGAGGTTTTGTGTGTGACTTTCGGTATCTGAACTCCGTCACGGTGAAGGATGCCTATCTCATACCTAGGATTTATGAGAGCCTCTCGAAGTTAGGTGATGCAAAAATTTTCTTGATTTAGGTTCGGCTTTTTGGCAGGTCCCGTTGAGGAAGCAGGACAGGGAAAAACAGGGTTCGACTGCGATTTGGGGCTGTTTCAATGGAAGCGGATGCCGTGTGGTCTTTGCAATGCCACAGCTACATTTCAACGGTTGATGGCGCATGCATTGATAGGTGTGACAAAGAAGTATGGCAATCTGGTAATGTGCTACGTGGATGACGTGGTAATAGCGACGCCTACACTGGAAGATCACATCGAACGACTGGATGAGGTGTTTGCATGCATGAAGAGGTCGGGGATAAAGTGCAAACCATAAAGTGCGAGATACTCGAGGATTCGATAAATTACTTGGGGAGGAAGGTGGACAGGCACGGCATCAGACCAGATCCAGATGCAGTTGAAGCAGTGCTAAGTTGGAAATCGCCAAAAACGGATCACCAGTTGATGAGTTTCCTGGGTTTTGCGAACTATTACACCGAATTCATCAAGGGTTACGCGGATGAAGTATACCCGATACAACAATTATTGAGACACAAAGGCAAGAAGTTCACGTGGAACAACGCAGCTGAAGAATCATTCCAGAGAATAAAGAAAGAGTTGTGCGACGCACCAAAGTTAGGGATGCCAACGGCGAAAGGGATGTACGTGCTGGATACGGATTGTCGGTAGTCGCGATTTCTGGAATTCTCCGTCAAGAAAAAGAATGGAACGGGAGGACAGTCTTGAGACCAATAGTATACGGGAGCAAAGTCTTGAGTGACACAGAAATGAAGTACGGGGCGCCGAAAGCGGAGATGTTTGCGGTGGTTGCCTTTGTCCAGAAACATAGAGCATACCTAGGCAGTGAGCCATTCAAGCTGCGAGTCGACAACAGGGCACTCAGCTGGCTGAAGACGTACTCGATGGACCAGAGCTACATTGCGAGGTGGATAGTTCGCCTGGACGGGTACAACATGATAATTGAGCCCAGAACATGAGACAAACACCAAAATGCCGATAGCTTGAATAAGAAGACGGAGTTCTACGAGAGACAGGAACAGAGGGAGGCGAATAGGCCAGAAATAAAAGAGGGCTTCTCCTTCATGGATAAGGAAACGTATGATAGTCTTCCACTCACGAGATGGCTCGACAAGTCAGGCAAACCGATACAAGATCACCCCGAATTACCAAAAGAGCCTCCAGAGAAAACAATCTTGAAGAAGACCCGAGGAATGCCGATAGGGATAATGCTCAAGTCAAAAATTGTGATAGAGACACTCAAGGCGAAGGGCTATGATCTCAACCAGGTAGAAACTGGAGAAGCACAGATAGATGAGGACTTGATGAGATTACTCGAGAAACTGGCAGATGATAAACCCGTGATTGAAGGAAAGGGCAAGGGGGAACCGGAAGTCACGATACTGCGAAGGAGTGAGACAGTTGGCGGCGAAAACTCCTTAGGAGAGAGTAATCCTGATAGGAAAGAAATCGTGCAGTCACTGGTTGACAAAATCCCTGATGACATACTTGAGCGGACTCGGGTTAGGAAAAAGAAAGTGGCGTTTAAGGGGGAAGCTGAACACCTTAGAATAGGTCAAGAGTCCGCGGAAGAGTCTTAAAGGGAATAGGAACTGTGTCTTTCTTTATTATTATATTTATTATCAACAATTTTTGTTCTCAGAATAGGATTTTGTAAATAATAATAGTGTAAATAGAAATAATTGTAAATAAAAATCATGAGACGGAGCAGGGTAACGATAGCTGAAAAAAAAGCTACCGAGTCAAAGACAAAATATAACTCGTCGCAACGAAAAGTGACATCGGTTGGCCCAAGAATAACAAGGAAGAACTTTTCAGTGAGCATGGTCAACACAAGAAGTTCAAAAGAGATTAAGACGAAAGAGTGCACGGAAGGGAAACAAACGGAACCCGCCGATGAGATTGACCTAGAAACACCAGACCAGAGGGTTGATGAGGTGGAGAAAAAGACGACGGAGTCGACACCGATACCGAATGCAGAGGAAAAAACTCAAAAGTCGATGGGATTCTCGCCGATAGACACTGTGGAGGACACAACGTGCAACACGCCAGAAACAGTAAAGGACGAGTCTCAAGTAGAAAGAACGTCATTTACAGAAAGGATAGCAATGATGATCGGGATGAAATCAAGAGACATAGTGGCGGATGAGCTGGGCGATCTGATGGCGAATCTAGATCAGATCGACAAGAAACTAAAGCACAGCGAGGAGGATAGAGAGGTGATAAAGAAAGAATTAAGATACAACAAACACGAGTACCTGGACAACTATTTCAATCTGGCGAGGGCGACAGAGGAAAAGCTTTAGCAGATGTCAGACAAGGTAGAGGCCACTGACGGAGAGCGAGATAAAAGCATCAAAAAAGACATACAAGAGATGAAGCAACGGTATGACGCTGTGAACAGCCAGTTGGGGAGTCTAGAAACGAGAATGGAGACAATGAGAAGAGACCAGGCTGAGAGTTCATGTGACATACAGGCAAAACTAGATGCCATCTTGAGAAACTCTACATCACAAGACAGATCGGTAACGGATCCAATGCAAGGTAGCAGAGTTGATTTCGTGGAACCACAACGGAACAAACAGCAGTCAACACCGTTACCATTACCCCGGGATGCAGCGAGCACAGCACTGGAGGGGGGGGGGCAAGACGATTATGAAAAGTGGAACCGCAAATACGATGAGTGGTCCAGGTGATTCCATGATCTACAATAATGCGGGACCTGATGCCATGACGTGGGCCAGCACCTGGGAAATGATGAATAGAACATTGGAAGCGTTCGCTACGAGAAACACTGAATCGGTTGAGAGAGGAGGTGGCAAATTCAGGAAAACCTTCAACACCCAAAAGAATTTAGGGATGACTCAGACGGATGCATCGATACTTGGGTAGAAGACTACATTTGGAACAGGACAACTTGAACGACGAGAGAAAAGCCTGTACAGCGATACTCAGCAACTTAGAAGGCACGGCGTTGAAATTAGTAGTTGCAAAGAAAGAAGAGGAACGCGACACAGCGGACAAGATCTTCGAGATATTGTTGAATCGATTCGGGTCAGGCATGAAGGGTCACCAAGCGATGATGAGATTCGAAAAAAAGGCAAAGGGATGATGAATCAATTGATCGGTTCCTAGATGATCTCGAGAGCTTGAGACGAAGGAGTGATCCTGAAGAGTCAACAACTAGAAGGAACTTTAGCATCGCCTCGAAGTTCATCGATGAGGTGAAAAGTGACGACTTGAGAATAATTTTAGCAACGTACTATACACTGTCGAAAGACAGCGCACCGACTCCAGAAGAGATGAGACAGAAATCGAGAGAGTGCATGCTAATGAAACCCAAGAAATACTCTTATTCGGACAAAACGTAGATCATGCGCAAACTGCGGGTCAGCTGATCATCACGTGGCGGATTGCACAACATACAAACAGGGCATGGACAAACGTAGATCATGCGCAAACTGCGGGTCAGCTGATCATCACGTGGCGGATTGCACAACATACAAACAGGGCATGAAGAGTCTGGGATATGCAACCGATGAGGAAGATATGAGCCAGATATAAGAAAACGAGTTCTTTAGTGGCTTGATCATCAAGTTAGGTGCGAGATGTTTCTTCTGCAATCAAGAGGGGCACTTCAGGATGGACTGTCCTTTGTTTTGGGAGGCAGTCAAGAACCAGAGTCACCCCAAGCATAAGTTGGCGTTAGCGGCGGTGAAGAACCAGAGAAACAGACAAACTGAATTTGAAACAAAAATTCGGAAGCACCGAATGCGGAACTGCCAACGAAGACGGTAAAAGCTGTAACGCAAGTCAGCAGTGCAATAGAGGCCACGGCCAGGAATGCTCTGGAGATAAATTTTGAAAAGGCGGCGGCAGAGGCTATCAACAAAATGAAACAGGCAACGAGGGACGAAGGAAATAGAGCAACGATTGAAACAGGAGATCGAAAAGCAGAAATTAAACGAGATGCTAGGTTGGTCGGTGCCGGAGCCAGAAGCCGTAGCAGGGTCGACAAAGAGTGGAAATTGCAACACTCTGAAAATGGTGATGGGAAAGCCATTCGGCACAACAAAGATCGGAGCCAGGGTAATGTCAAAAATCACTGTTGGCGGCCATGAAGTAACGAGGAACTTGAACGAACCAAGCGATCAGACAATAATGCACATTGACGTGTACGCAGATTACTTGAGTGCTATAAGCCCACAGACGACGTCTAGAGCCTTGAGGACGCTACTCACAAGAGGTGGCAGCAAGTCAGTCCGTGTTGAGAACAGATACACAGAAGCTTATGGTCCGCATGAGGTGATGCTAAATATAGATGGGATAAACTTCTATACGAAAAACATGATAACATGTGATGAAGATCTAGTGGGGCAGATCTACGTGGGCAAAGAAGAACTAAAATTGAGATCGATTGGACACTGCGCCATGCTGGAAGAAGGTGCAATGCACATCGGGACGGAAGCGGACAAATCAGCACATGTGCTTGACATAAGTGGCAAAAAGACTCAGTTACGTGGGTTACTTGATACGGGAGCGGTCTTGAGTGTTATACCAATCGAAACTTGGGAACGAATGGGTTTTGACAAAGATGACTTAGTAGACTCAAGAATACGGCTATCAGATGCGAACAAAGGGGCGCTGCGGGTACTAGGCAGAACACCAAAACTAGCCCTAAATCTAGGGGAACGCAACCTGTGGATGAGCTTTCTTGTGGTGGAGAACCTAGACGAGTCTGACCAGTTCATTTTAGGCAGAGACTTCATCAGGAACTTCGACGTAACGATTGATCTGAACAATGCCATGCTCAGGATTCGGAATCCGGATAGAAAGTACGTAATTAAACCGGTAAATCTGATAATGGCAAATGAGAATAAAGTGCCGGTGTTCTTGATCAGAAGGGTAAGGCTGAAAGCAAACGAAGCGGCAATTGTAAGCTTACGGATGAAAAATTATAATGAATTAAGTAATAGTAAGCAAGTATGCATAGTTCCTAATCCAAACAGTCGAAGTGCTGCTGTTTAGGAAGATCCTTCTCGATAACCAAGAGCGGTCTCTGCGTCAGTGTCTTGTTGAATACTCTTGACATACCCATAACAATCTAGAGGGGAAGAAAGTTGGGATATGCCTTATCCGTGAAAACTTGAAATGAAATGAATGAAAATGTAAAGGAGAAAGAAGTAATTGAATGTCCCACTCACAGGGACAAGATTTGTATCTTGAGACAATTGAATAAAATAAAAAATTCATCAGGTCTTGTAAAGTCACTTAATTCGGAGACAGATGATGGACTATCGAGTTGTTCAATTTTCCCAGAAAGACCAACACTAGAGGAAATGGAAATTGAAAAACCAGTTTTACTTGAAATAGAGCATTTAAGGGGTAAGGTAATGGATGAACAACTCGAGGCCACCAAGGACGTTTTAGAGCGGAACGAGGAAAGTTTTCGAGACATAAGTCAGACATTGGATGTTGTAATTTTGTTGAACATGAAATAGAGCTTGAGGAATCCGCGGTACTGCACAGGAAGGGGGCGAGCCGCATGACCTCAAACAAATCGGATGCGTGTAGGAAAGAGATAGAGACACTACTAGAGTATGATATGATAGAACCATCAAAAACACCGTGGGCGTGTGTAGTAGTGATGG